GTTTCTATCACCTGTTTGCTTATTAATATGTGATTTATGCTGCCGGAACTGGTACATCCAATGACAGATCAACTGTTACCAGGAACAGTATCTGTACTTCTGGCAGAAGTTTTATTACAATGTATGAGTATTTATTAGTACTCGCGCGGCTGTTCTCGTTAGCCATGTTGCTGTAACCAAATTTCTACTAACTACTATAACCATTACTTTCCTAGTTTTTATTTACTTATACTTAAACTATTGATTAAATAATTAAATTATAACCGCAAATAAGTTTGTTGCTTGCAACGAGAAAATTAACGAAATGGTGTCACCAGTGTTGAATGGCAGATGTGGAGTCCACGAATGGTTTTTATTTTTTTTTTTTAAATTTTTCATCCAACACTTGAAAAAAAACACAACGTTAAATACAATCAGTGATAATAGTAGTAGTAGTGATATCAACAGGTTTAGTAGCGGTGTTAGTAGTAGTTGTAGTTGCGGTGGTTGCAGTTGAACGTACGCTGAAGCAAACATACGTGGCCGTGTTTTATAACTTCACCTTACAGCCCAATGCATTCGTCTGTTTTTTGTTCTGTGTTGCTGACCATGATGACGATGATGACGATAAAGATGATGATGAAGAAGAAGATGATGTTAATGGTGATGATGATGGTGATGTCATTAATGATGATGATGATGTTAATGGTGATGATGATGTCATTAATGATGATAATGATGTATGGTGATGTTAATAATTATGATGATGTTGATTATAACGAAGATGGTGATGTTGGTGTAATGATGACAAAGGGTATGGAGATAAGTTTTATAATGAAATCCTCATCGCTGGTTCAATGTTTACTAATAATATAATAACAATGCGATAATATGGAGATATTTTTATAAGAGAAGTGAAAATATGACAATGTGATGATGTGATGATTTGGCGATGATGAAGACGCCTGTTTCCATGCCGCTAAAACAACAATGATGATGATGGCAGTGATAACATGGAGGATGATAATGAATTGCTTCATTTGCTTTGGTATAGTGTTGTTGTTGCTGCTGTCGTTGTTGTTGTGGTTGTCGTTAATGTTTTTGATGTTGTGGTTTTTGTTGTTGCTGGCGTTGTTGTTGTGGTTGTCGTTAATGTTTTTGATGCAGTGGTTGTTGTTGTTGTTGGCGTAGTAGGTACTATTGTTTTTATGTAAGGTTCATCTTCAATGTTGGGTTTATTGTTCTTTTTACGCTGTTGTCTTTTTTGTTGTTAAACAGTGTCCTTTTATTGGTGATACAGTTTACTTTCGTTGAAAAAAAAACAGTTTTGTAGTCTGAATAATTGTTGATGTTTTTTTTATTGGTATATATTTTTAATGTCATAGAGTTGAGGTTGTTTTTAATTTTAACAAAAGTTAAAATTTTTTGTTCGTTGTTGCAGTTTTGATGATTCAGTTTTGTTGTTGCAGTTTTGTTGTTGCAGTATTGTTGTTGCCGTTTTGTTGTTGCAGTTTTTTGTTGCTGCAGTTTTGTTGCTGTCACTGTTTTTAATGTTTTGGTTAATGTTTTGTTGTTGCGGTCGTTATTGTGGAAATGTTTCTGTGTTGCATTTTATATTGCAGAAGCAGTTGATTTATAACGCATCCCGCAGTTTGTATGTTGTCGTCGTATGCCGTTGTCGTTGTATGTAAAGTTGTCACTGTTGTATGTTTATGTGTGTAGTGTTTCATGTGTTTTTTGTATAGTTTGTTATTTTTTTATTTGCCTTGCTTTGCTTTGTTTGTACCTGCGTTTTTATATTTCGTCATAATGTTTTCATGTATGTTTTTTTTAGAAGCATGATGTGGTTTAGTGGTAAGAACAATCACTCATCTGCAATATAAATGATATTATAAATGATTTTGAAAAAGATGATACTGGAGATGTGAGCACTTCAGAGTGATAAATGTATCAATGAAGATGACAATGATAATGTTGGTGAAATACAAATTTTACTTTCATTGTAGTTTTGTATCAGTCATAATGCTTCTGCTTCTTTTATATTAATTATTATCGCTATTACCATAATAATTTTCGTTATTATTACTTGTTTTAAAATATGGAAATTGTTGTTTATGCTATAACCATCATCATCTTCGCAATATTCATTTATTAATATGTCATACTGTTATTGTATTAGCATAAATACCAATTATGTCAGTAACTTCTACCTATAATAAACAGTTAGATCTGCAATGGACCGTTGATTAAAAATACAATAAAATACATTGATACTATCATTATGCACACCACTTCCATATTACTAAACACCTCTTACACTATGTAACTAAGCGTTACTAATACTTCGTAACTAGAAAATACTACTTACTAGTAAAATAACTCAAACCTGCCTAGCGAAATACAAGACTCAACGACATCTGTTTCTAACTATCATAAACACACAAGCAAATACGGTATCACCAAGCCTAGCATAATACCATGATATCTATAAAGTATCACGATATCTATCAGATATCAGCAAGCCAAACATGATATCTATCAGTCAGTTCACAATCCATCCACGTATCAATACGGATGACATCATAATGCTGCTCGTTTATATAGCGCCTAATCCTCTTACATCAGGCAAACAAATACGGATATTAGCAATGCTATTTATTAGGGCGTTCGTTGAAATTTATGCCGTGGATGGCTTTTTTCCACCAACAGTAATTTTTCCACCAACATTGGTTCCCATCCATTAGTTTTTATACCGATTTACGTCTGAATTATTACTAATAACACCAGGGTATTAATATATTGCGTGTTGTTACTTGTGTTACTGTTGTTAGCGTCAACTACAACTGCTACTACTACTATTTGCTGCGTTTTTTACTACTGTTACAATTATAATTTTTAATATTAATATCACTATTACTTTTAGTATTAATACTACTAATGAGAATTTTACTGCAACTATAGTTTTACTACAATTGATACTAAAACTACAACTAATGATACTGTAATACTGTTACTGTTGCTACAACAACTACTACCGTCGCTACCACTACTTCTTTTACCGCTGCTACCACAGAATTTTTATTATTAAGGGGATGTTGATGTTAGTGTTGTCTACCACAGACGTAATGAAGAAAAAGCCGCAAGCTATGAATCCATGTACGTATGTACGTTTATGTTGGGGTACGTTTTAGTATGTTTATGAATGTTTAGATATATTTATGTATGTCTCGTTATGTCTACAAATGTTTGATGTAAGTTTATTTCATGTTATTTTCAATTTTTTAAATTATAAACGCAAATTAGACGTGAAAAATAAAAAAAACAAATTAATTTACGGAGATGAAAATATTAAAAAACACAAAAACAAAAAAATTTTTCTGAATTTGTGAATGAAGAAAATTTAAAGAAAATATAAATTAAACAAACATACCGTCAGACAGACAGTCAGACAGACAGATTGACAGACAGACAGTCAGACAGACAGATTGACAGACAGACAGTCAGACAGACAGATTAAAAGACAGAGAGACAAATAAACAAAAAGTACAAAGGAAGAGTAGCGTTAGTATGTTGGCAAGCAGGCAAGCATCCTACTATCACATACTCAATATGACTTAATACTTTATACGCATCACTGATCTTGCCCTTGTTCATAAAAATGAACTACTATTACTACCACCACTACTACTACTACTACCACTACCACTACTACTACTACTACTAACACTACCACTACTATTACTACTACTTCTTCTTCTACTACTACTACTACTACTAATACTACTATTACAATACTATTGCTACATTCAATATTTTTACTTCTAACCAATTGCAATTTGTAATCTCTAATATTTTATACTGACTAAAGTAATCTATATACTTTAACTCAACTTAATCTTATTCTTTACTGCTACTATTAATACTACTGTGAAAAAATATTTTACTGTACATATGAAGTAGCAATAGTAACATTACTATTGTTGCAGTAGTTCTTAAAACTTCAATTTTTATAACTGCTGTTTTTAGTACCGACATGAAAGGCAACATTAAAAAAAGAAAAAATAATTGAAATCTCAAAACGCAACTACCGCTACTACTATCACTGCTACTACTAATACTACTGCTGCTACTACTACTACAGCTGTGGTTATTACTACTGATACTATTGTAATACTAATACTAATGCAGCTACTACAAATACTAATACTACTGCACTACTACTCTTACAGCAGCTGCATCTGCTGCTACAGTAGATACTTCTTCAGCTACAGTTACTACTACCACCACCACTGTTCCTATTACTACTACTACTACTACTACTTTTACTGCTACTACTACTACTACTACTACTACTATGATAGTAACATAAGACTATTATTGAAAATATTCTTTGAATAAATTTTGATTTATTGAAAATTTGTTAAACTTTTATTGTTTGCGTTTTGTTTGAAATCGTTTTGTATATACTTTTGTTAACTTTATATACATTGTTATAATTATTATTATCATTATCATTTATATTAGTTTCACTAACGATATCACCATTTTATCATCATCAATTATACATCAGTATCATCATCTTTATTATTATTATTACTATTATTATTATTACTATTATTATTATTTTAACTATCGCGAATTAACTATACATTTACTAGTTATTTATTATTATGATATTATCAGTGTTAGTAATTTTCAGAAATAAAATATTAAAAAAGAAATTTAATGTCAGCCATCCAAGATGATGCTAGGAATCATAAAATTGATATTCAATAGCCAAAATGATAGGGTCTAGAGACAATTACGTTACGATATGTTCTTCAAGGATGAGACCATCCTTTTGCGTAATGTTGTTGTTGCTGCTAATGTTGTTGTTGTTGTTGATGCCATGTGCTGTTGTTATTGTCAATGTTACTTTATTAATGTGTTGTTGTTAATGTCATTTTGTTAATGTTGTTGTTAAACGTCACCTTAGTAATATCGTTTACATGAGAATACATGAGAAAATACATGAGAAAAAAATGGCGTCGAGACCGGTAAAAATAAACGAGCTCCTTTATTTTATTAATAATAATTTAAGTTTAATAGAGGAAGAATCATTTATTAATAATACTAGTGAATTTTATACTAGTGACGATATTGTTTTAGCAATTAAAACATTAAAATGTGAAATAGACTCACTAAAACTGGATAAAATGGAAAAATTTCCCTCGCGCGGGAATTCAAAACATGAAAAACTTCTGGAATGCTTGACTTTATTCAGGTATATTAAAAATAACAATTTGTTGGATAAAATAGCATTATTTTGCAGTTCTGATATAAATAAAATACCAAACACGGAAAACTGGCTGAAAATAAATTTCGACTTTGTTAACAAACAAATAAAAGAAATGTTGTTCAGTCAACAAGCTGAAATTAACAAAATGTTTTTGTCCTACACAACCGAGTTGGATAATGTAAAAAATAAACTTAACTCTCTTGTCGGCGAAAGTCGTCAAATGTCAACAACAAAAAAAAATGTCAACAACGAAATTCCAACGACAAGTAACGCGCAGCAAGATAACATTCTACAGGACAAAAATCTCTGGTCAAACAGAGTAACAACACCAGTGGAGAACTTACCGTTCAGTCTCGTACTGCGCAAAAACAAGCGTCCACGGTCAGACAACAGCAGCACCAATCGCAGTGAAACCGATAGCAACAACACCAATCGTCAAAACAACAACAGCATGAAATATTCAGAGGTTGCAAAAAAAGTTTCAAATAAAATTGTTGGAAACAAAGTCAGCAATGATTGCAAATTGAAAGCGGAGAAACAACTGATAAAAAAGTCATTTTTCATGATGAGCAACATTCAGCGATGCCACCGAGATGATGTTGTTGAATACTTGTCAACAAATGGAATCAAGGTAATTTCGTGTTTTCCTGTTGTTAAAAAGACAAATAATTCGACTGAGGGTAACAAAAACAACAATGATGATGAGCAGTCCACAATGTTCAGAGTGTGTGTCGAAAGTTGTGACGCCAGCAAGATGAAAGATCCTGACATCATTTTGAAGCACATCATCGTTCGTGAGTGGCGCTTCAACCAGAAAAAACCCGAAGAAAGTAATAATGTGAAACATGATTAGCACAAATGCAGCAAACAAAGAAAACCACCGCAAAACACTTAACAACAGGTGCCAAAAATTTGAAAATATAAACCAATTTAATAACCAATTTAAACAAATACATTACAATAATTCCAATGTAAAATCATTTGTTAATCTCATGCATATCAACATCAGAAGTTTAATACACAAGGCAGATGAGTTGTTTGATTATTTAAACAATTTTGTGTGCACATTTGACGTCGTAGCCATCACTGAAACATGGCTTAATGATAGTACAGAGGATTTGATTTGTATGAACGGTTTCAAATTCATCGGAAAAAATCGATTGAGCAAACACGGTGGAGGAGTAGGATTCTACGTAAGCAATAACTTGACCTTCAAGACAAGAGATGATTTAAACAAGTTGGGAGGTCTAGATTTTGAAACTTTCGCAATTGAATTAGAGACTGACCCTTCAACCAAAAATTTCGTCATTGTTGTATCATACAGACCACCCAGTTGCAACGCGATCTATTACCTGCAGCAATTGGAAATTATATTGCAACAAATAGACGTTGAAAACAAGCATGTTGTTATCACAGGTGATCTCAACATTGATATGAGCGACACGAACGATGATGTTAACAAAATGTATTTATGTCAACTTTTTACCTGCTACAGTTTTGATCAGTTAATAACGCTTCCAACAAGAATCAGTGTTGAAAAGCAATCAATCATCGACTGCTTTTTCACAAACTTTCCGCAACAGGTAGCGTTATGTGGTGTGCACGTTCATGATATATCGGACCATCTGCCCATCACCGCCACTATCAGTTCTTCCATTAACAAAAATAAGTCCAAATACGTAAAGAATCAACAAATCTACTCCTTTTCAAAAAGTAGAATAAACAAACTTAATGAAGCTTTATGTATCAACGATTGGTCAGATGTTTTGTTATGCAAGGATGTAAATGATGCTTTCAAACTATTCATTGACCTATTTAAAAAACTTTTCGATGACTGTTGCTTAATGGAAAATGTCAAAAAATCTAGAAATTTTCTCTGTAACAAACCATGGATTACAAAAGAATTTAGTATTTTACTCAAAAATAAAAATTCTTTATATAAAAAATTTCTCGAAAATCCAACCGGGATAAGATACACGAAATTTAAATCAATTGCCAAACGTTGCTCAAATCTCAACAATAAGCTAAAAAAACAATACTTCAGTGACTTGTTTCAACGAACAAAAAATAACAGCAAAAAAACGTGGTCGAATATTTTAAAAATAATAAATAAAAGTAAAGATGATAAAAATGAAAAGTTACTAACCTCAGATGAACAGGTTTTAGACAATCCTGAAGATGCACTTAACAAACACTTCATAAGCCTAGCTCCAAATTTGATGAAAGATTTTACGAAAAATTCTGAATGGAAGCAAACAATGCACCATAAACTTTCAAATTCCTTTTTTTGTCTTGATACCTCATTTGAAGAAGTTGTCGAGCGGCAAAAAGTTTACGACCCAAATATTCAAGTGGTGTTGATGACATTCCTTCAAAAATTGTTATTTCCACAATCAACTCAACAGCTCAAATTTTGAGTTATCTGGTAAATTTTTCATTTGCGACAGGCATATTTCCTCAATGTTTCAAAGTGGCAAAAGTAATTCCAATAGCAAAGCAGACAGGTAATACCGATATAACCAACTATCGACCTGTAGCGTTACTACCGGCCTTTTCAAAAATTATGGAAAAATTGATGTACAAAAGAATTGTCAATTTTCTTCAAAAATATAACATAATTTCAGATTCTCAATTTGGCTTCCGTGATAAACATTCAACAGAGTTGGCAATCGTGGAATTGATCCGTAAAATTGGAGTAGCTGCAGAAAATAAAAACTTTGTCGTTGGAACTTGCATCGATCTGTCAAAAGCCTTTGACTGCATCGACCACAGCATTTTGATGGAAAAGTTAAATTATTATGGAATCCGTGGAACACCCCTAAGATGGCTTAGTAACTACTTGACCGATAGGAAACAGTTTGTTAGATGGCAGAACAAAAATTCGACGATACTAACAAATAACTTTGGAGTTCCTCAGGGAAGCATATTGGGTCCACTACTGTTTGTGATCTTTATAAACGATCTTCCCAAGGCATCGAAGTTTTTTGATTTTGTTTGTTATGCCGATGACACTAATATTTTTAGTAAAGGTGAAAATATTCACGAACTTTTAAATAAAACCAATATTGCCATTAAAGAAGTGGTCAAATGGTTTCAAAACAACAAATTAACGTTGAACAACAAAAAATCTCAAATGATTATTTTTGGGCCGGTTCAGTATCTGAACTACAAAGAACCGTATAAGATTACAATTAATGGACTAGAAATAAGCGAAAGCAAATCAGTTAAATTTCTAGGTGTCCACCTTGACCAAAAATTAAGTTTTCGACACCACGTAAATTACGTATCAGGAAAAATGGCGAAAGCACTTGGCGTTATCAACAAAGTTCGATTTTACGTTCCAAGAAGAACGTTAAATATGCTCTATAACGCCATATGCGTACCGTACATCTCTTACTGCAACGTAGTCTGGGCTGGTACCTATCGCACGATCACCGATCCGATCCGATTAATAATGAAAAGGGCAGTACGGCTAGTTACATCATCAACAAAGCAATCGCACACGTTGCCATTATTTTTGTCAACGAAAAATTTGAATTTTGATCAGGTGAATGCCTACTTCACGGCTAATTTTGTCTACAAACAGCTGACAAACAAGTTACCATCAATATTCAATCATTACTACACTTGCAGCAACAACAAGAGACAAAATTACATTAGATCAAATTCATCAAAAACAAACATTCTCTTCTTCCACGTATATTGCAAAGGACCGAGAATCTGGAATTTGCTATTAAAGAACAACTTTAAAATTGACTCAATGTCTGATGTTAAATTTAGGCAGAAACTGAAAAATTTTATTTTAAACTTAAGAATTAAGTTCTGTTGATTTAGTCAAAATAATTTAGTTATATGAGGTTACATTTAACTTCTCTTTAACTTTTAGAACAATGTATATATATTTATAATTCTATATATTGCTTAAATATATAGATAACTATGTAATGTCTATCCCGTGTTTTTCTGGATAGATACCAAACATTGTTATACATAAACCATGAACCATCGTACTAACAACTAACATCTATTTTGCTAACATAGTTGAGTTTGTTAATTTACTAACAACTAACATCTAACATACCTCTCGTAGATCATTTAGGGAAAATTTTTATTATTTGCTGAAAATTTGTGTGAACATAGGACATTTCTGTTTAGGTGGCCATACTAGATGAATTTCATATAAATTCTATTATGGTCATCCTGCTTTCTTTTAATTTTCAATTTTGAGAAGCAAATAAATAATTTCGTTTCGTTTCGTTTCGTTTAAGTTTTGTAGTCAAAATTGTTGAAATTTTTAGAGTTGTTTATTTGTGTTGTTGAAGTTTGTGATTGGTTTTAATGTCATTTATATAATAATTCAACCTAACATGTTCATAGCCAATGTGATGACAACCGATAAAATTATAATTTCTACGTTCCATATCTTCATACCCATTCTTCAGTTTGTTATTTTTTTTAAACGCATCCCACTCATTATCGTTGTCGTCATCACCATCACCACGTCACCGTAATTACCATTCCCTCGTCCAACTAAAAGAAGAGGAAAAAAACTAAACCCGAAAAATTTCAAGAAAAATTTTCTTTTCTCGAATCTAATTCTTTTGAACTGTAGGACTGATTTGACATGCGCAGAAACAACGGATGTGACGTAGCACCAATAAAAGAGCACAAATAGCACAAGATATTTACATAAGTGGACATGCGAGGTGAACCATTAAATCGGAATTAAAAGCGCATAATGATATAGCCCTACATACACATGCGTTTATATAAACGTGCATATACATTAATATGCAAGTGTATATATAACTATTGTACAAACGATGTAGTACATATTTGAATTAATTTTAAAAGCACACGTAACATACATATTAACATATTAATACGCTATACATTAACATGAGTGTATATTTTAAGAAATTATTCAAAATTATCGCTAACCTATTATAGATTTATTTATATGATGAATACAATGGGATGAATACACGTTAGTATGTTTATGATCAATTAGGGTTAGGCGGTTATAGCGGGAAACAGATGATTAGTATATGTATGCGTCTGTGATCAAACGCATTTGTGAGTTATGTATGTGGCTAACTAGTACGATAATTATAACTGTGTATAAAGATGATTGGAATGTATTTGTATGTGTGTTGAGTTGTGTCTGTGTGTTTTGTATGAAAGTTAAAGTTGGCATTACGTTACTTTACAATTAAACTTAAAAAATGATTCTATATTTTAAATATCACTTCGTTAGCAAGTTTCATTTAATGTCGTTAATAAAAGCATTAATATCTTCCTATTGTTAACGTGTTATCCTCACGTTCAGATGATCTGATGTTGTTATTCTTGAAATGTTTAAATAACGGGTTGACAAATAACAGGTAGGCTTTCAGTGGAACATACAAGTTCACAGTCACATAAAAACACACAGAGACACAAAAACACGTACACATGACTAACGATATACCAAATTGTTAATCAATTTGTTATTTTATGTTTGACGTCATGATTTGGATTTAGCTTACACACAAACAAACATACAAACACACACATAACATCGCGCACAATGTTCAGTATATATGGACATTACCAGAAGAACAAGCCAGCCAGACAGAATAGCAGTTGTTGAAATTGCAAATGAAAGGCTATTTAAAAGAGATTCGTTAGGGGCCATTCTATTAACAGTGTCTTCTTGGCTTGCATCGCACTCCGCTGTGCTATCTACAAGCACATACACTTACACTCACCTACGTAAATGTTTATATGGCCTTACACACACTACACGCACACCGTCATACACTCATAACACACACAGACATACACATAACTTCACAACTTCACAACAACATAACGCACACACATACCTCTACATGCCAGAGCAGTGAAACCAATTTTTAGTAAATCTAGATTTTTTAGGGTTATTAAATTTGTAAAATGTACTTTTTTATCATTAATTTAGTTGAAATAGCAATTTTTTGATCAATTTATAAAATCTAAAAAACCTATAAACCTTCAAATAACTAATAAAAACCTAAGAATAAAATTAAAATACTTACGTTTTTAACAGCTCTTCTACATATATACAAATACATACACATAACACTCACACATGCTCTTGCAATATAAATAAAGTCGTAACTTTCTTCTGTGTATCCAATTCACTAAGGTTGCGTGGTTTTTGAAATTAGATTGAATCAAATTCGCGATTTTATTGCTTTGATATTTCACCGGGTTTTTGCTTTGTTGTTTTATATGTAATGTCCTGTTGGATGGTTGGATGTGTTTCATTTTTTTAATTTTAAAAATTTTATGTTGTCGTTTTGTTTTTCATTTCATCTCTGCCACCTTATTTCATACTCATGTAGATATGATAAAAATTATTTATACTCTAATTTGTTTTATTTACTAACGATACACACACATACACACACACACACATACATACACACACACATACACACACACGTATATAATATGCTTGCCATCACAATACAATTTTATACTGGTTGTGAAAATAGGACAAGAAAATGATTTTTTAACTACGTTGAAATTATAAAATAGAAAATAGTTAGTTATATAAAAATAAAAAAAAACAACAAAATGAACAAACCAGAAACTAAATTTGGAATGAAGGAAAGGAGCGGAATGAAAGTTAAGCAAAGGATAAATAAATGGGAATATAAGAGAAAGCAAGAGCCGTGCTAGTAGTAACGATGCTTCTTCGAAATGATAACACATGATGCCAACTTTTTCATACTCATTCAGCATTCTATGATTGTTTCTATCTGTCTTGGTATGTGTGTGTGTGTGTGTTTATGAGAGTGTATGTATGATTGTGTGTGTTGTCTATGCTGTTTAGTTTTTTTTCCTTTTGTGTTTTTTTAAGGTTAATTATCTGCAAGTGGTATTTGGACTATAGAAAATTAAAATTAGATTTTTGAAAAAATTTTTCATCAAACGTGAAATTTCTTACAGTAAATGTCATCGTCAATTGTCTTTAAAAATTAAATATAGCAGTAAGAGGCTCCGCTTTGGAGGTATTACAATCCTAGGACGAGATGCTAACCGACGTGTTAGACCGACGCCATGGAAACAAATATACTGAAGACCTCTACTTAACACAGCTCGGCAAAAACAAGGTAAACTGCTCAACAACTAACACAAGACAGAGAGAGACAAATCCTGCTGGCGTACCCAGGAATTTAGGGACAGAAGGGCAACAAAAGCATTTATTCAAACCCTACAAGACCCTGATATGAGATATGAAAATATCAAAAATAAAAACACTTAAAGGAATCCTAAATCACTATATGACACTGGAATCTCCAAAGCCAATGTTGAAGAAAGGCACAATAATACGGCAAATCTATGAAGGGAATGATTGTCGAAGGATTGTCTCAAAACCAGACAAAAAATTCGCAAAATGCTGGAACTGTAGAAAAAAGAGCATGTCAGAAAGTATTGTAAGAGGCCCCAAAAAAGTAACGCCTATCGAGGGAACGATGCGAGAAAGACCGACTCTCGAATAAATGCCAGTCCCAGGTCCGCAGTTAATGCCAACCCTACCGGACCAAGGTTAGCCGGAAAAAAAAACGTCTCCAGCAGTATTGTTCATATTCCGAAGCTGCATCGTTTGGGTGGAAGAAAAGATAGATCTTACGTAAATGCCTGATTGCCTTCAATACAGGAGCAAAGAGAGAAAGAGAGAATAATTGTTATAAAGTTTTTCATTTTTTTATGAATTTCATTCGATCCATCACTGATCTTACAAGCGTAATTTTTCAATCAATCATAATTTTTATTTTGCCTTCGCGCCAGTTCATTATTATTTTTATTTATATTCTTTATTATTATCCTTTTTATTTTCTGTTGTTTTTGTTGTTTCCTCCAGTTCAATGTTGATGTTGTCAATACTTTTTTATATCGTTAGTTAGGACTTCTCAGAATGTCTCGGATTTTTGCCTGCACTAGATATTTTATATTGTAATAAATTAAATTATTTTGGAATTGTCAATGTTATTTTATTTGAAATACTAATAATTAACTACTAGTATTTAAAAAAAATTATAGTAAGAATCATAATTTAAATTGTGAAAAAGTGTATTATTATTATTATTATTATTATTATTATTATTATTATTATTATTATTATTATTATTATTATTATTATTGCGTTTCTCATTTGTTACCATTCTATGAAATTTTTTTTGTTCTGATTAATTTAGCCGGGAGCACTGTATGATCAGCACATTGTTATTTCACTCTCCAATTCCACCCTTTCTGTTTTTTTCCTTTTTTCAATTTCTTCATCTTCCAACATTTTCTTCAATTTTTTCTTCTCATAAATTTCATTCGTTCTTCAACATCTTCCGTACCGCTACCATTCTTCATTAAATCTTCCACACTTTTCATTATTCAACTTTTAATTTATTCCTTTATTTGTACTCGCGTGTTAGCTTATTTATTTTAAATTTTTATCCAAAATGTCGATAAAAATTTATTGAGATATTAAATAACTTCACCATAACTTTCTTATACCGTGTCTGACTGTGATATCATTCTTTCTAAAAAAATACATAAAAAATATATTTTTTATTCATCTACTTTATAAACTTTTTCTGTAACTTAACTACAAAAACTCAACGTATCTGAGATTTTTCCTTTGGCGCGGACGAAATTGATAAACTCACTCTGAATGCAAAATCATTGGAAGAGCTTTATATTGCCTGGGTGCTTCTTTGCTTTAAAACCATATTTGTATGCAACTGCTCGTTTCATCTTTCTTATGTGTTTTTATTTTCAATTCTAAGTGAATCAAAATATTTT